CACCCCCCCCCCCCCCCCCCCCCCCCCCCAACACACACACACAAACACACACATCTTTGTCAAAATGTCTGCTGGTCACAGTTATGCCGACTTCTCATTTCTCATATTTAAGAGTTAGACTGCAGACTCGTGTTTTAGACTAGAACAGCGGTCCACTCATGTACAGCTGACAGTGTGGCTTCTATCAATGTTGAAATGGCAATTTACAGAACTCGGACTTCATTCTGCAAAAACATGAACATCGTACAACGCTTCAAGTAAGTACACAATTAAAATACACTAAAAAGTCTCTGCAAGCCTTGGTTGTGTATCTTTGCCAAGATTAGCTCCAACCCCCCCACCCCCCCGACCCCACACCCCCGCATGAAGGGAAGGAAAAACCTGAGGGTGCAGGTGTGGTTCTGTCATCTACAGGAAACATCTTCCAAACTGGCCATTCTTTGCTTCTTCCCATCTTTCCTCTTCAGCTCTGTGTGGGATTCAACGGACACCATCATAAATGTGCGACAGACCATTGCTGCTTGAGTTGGCCTGCCAAATTTAATCAACTTTACTCTGCCAATGACAAAATGTCAATCTTACCATTCTTTTCTGCTTCCCTGAAACAAGTGATGTAACCTGTTCATCGTCTGCAGTACGAAGGCAACAGCTCTCGTCTGGAAATAAGCTGAAAACTAAAGCTTTTGATTTTCTGGTCTGTCTACACTCCAAGCCTCACCTATGGTCATGACAAAGAACTAGACAGTAACAGTCCATAGTCATAGTCTGGACTATACCTGGGGTTAAAGGGACCTAGGCTAAATGATAGCCTGGATATAAAATGGCCTAGTCCAATTTATACTCTGGGGCATTAAATGGCCTAGGCTTATTCATACCCTTCAGGCCAAATTATACCCCCATAGTACCAGTAGTGTTGAGCAAATATGAACAGGAATTACTTAATTTTTCAATATTTTATTGGGTGTTCATCTTTGTCAGGTAAGTTTAGTAAGAAAGCTGACTGACTTAAATCTTAAAACTCAACATTTGGCCGGAGGTGTACACCTCAAGCCAAATGATGCATTTATAAATTCTGTCCTGGAGGGGTGTAGACTGGCCTAGGTTATTTTACACCCCCAAGTACAGTTTGGTTTAGGACAGTTTATCCTTCAGGATATACTCTGGCCTTGGCCAAAGTATACCCAGGTTTAATCTGGGCAGGGGTTAATCTGGCCCGTTAGATCTGGTACAAGCAGCTGAAATGAGCTTTCTCTATCTGGTGGCTGGAATTGAGGAGATTTGTCTTCCAGTGGGAGCTCAGAGTAGATCAGCTGGTCCTCCTCATCAAAAGGAGTCAGTTGAGGTGGTTCAGGCATTTAATTAGGATGCACCCTTGAAGTTGTTTAAGGCACATTCCACTGGGAGAAGACTATGTAGCAGAACCAGAACTTACTGCATGGCCTACATATCCTCTTTGGTCCGGGGACACCTTGGGATCCCCCAGCATGAGCTGGGGAGTGTTGAATGCCTGTGATTCTTCCCTTGAACCTGTTAAGATATTTTTAATCTAGACTGGTCCTATGGTTTTGATCTCCTCAGAGATGGGATTATAATGAAATTATGACCCGGTTCTGACTGGGTTAAACTGGGCCAGCAACTCTAAAAAGAGTCTCCCTGGGATTTCAATATCAGTCAAGAAATAGTTTAATCGGCTTGCCATATCACGTAGAAAGGCTTTTGAAGCACTGTCTCATATTTTCCTAACACGTCAGAACCACATAAGATCACTGAGATCACACTTAGCCACGCCCCCTCATACACTGATAGGTTGAGCTCCCCTTCTGCAAAGGCGGAGTCTAGGACCCTATAAAGGAGTAAAAACACGAGACATCGGGGCTCTTCTTCCGGGTCTGTGAACGCGTCTCAGACTGTAGAGTCCAGCGCTATAAAATTGTAATCTTTTCCTGCCTTTTTTAATATAATTGATAAAACTTAATTGACATTTCTTTGATTTATTGATTAGTATAGTTGCCACTTCTGAGGGAGGTTCGAGCCGGGGGTAAAGACGTGGGCTGGAGGGGGTTTCCAGATCCGGTGGTCCGCAACCAGCTCCCGTCTTTAACAAACCATTATCTCTGCAACCCATCCTGATTCAAGCTCAGTAATTCAGGTAGAAAATCCAACGGTCCTCTGGACGCTTTCTTTTTGTTGCAACCCATCTTCAGATAAGATAAATTGTTTCTTGTTTATGCCAGTAATCTGGCATCAAAGTCCAACTAAATGTTTTCTGCAGCATTTACACCTTCAGCCCCCACAAAAAATGCATTTTTGGTAAAAACAAACAAACAAACATATTTTTGAAAAAATATTTTTACAGCTTCCTTTCTGGTGGTTGTATATTATGGAGCAGATAATGTAGCATGATCGCTCTCATTTGACTATTGTTCTGGGTCTGTCTCATTTTATCTTGGTCCAGTCCACATTAACCTTTAATTATGTACTGTAACGGGTAATAATTGAGAAAAAACTGTAAACACTGAATAAAATAAAACTTTTGGGAGAATCGTTATTCAAGCTAAGCCTTTTTATTTTTGATATATCAACATCCATCCAGTGATATAGCATGGGTTTATCAGCATTTCTGTCAGAATGGTGAAAGAATGCAGAATAAATAGAGAAAAAAGATACTGGTTTAAAAATTGTCCAGAGAATTATAGACATCCATCCATCCATTATCTTTACCCACTTCTTCCTTTTTTGGTCGTGGGGGTCACTGGTGCCCATATCCAAGCATCATTGTGCAAGAGGCTGGGTACACCCTGGACAGGTCTTCAGTCCATCACAGAGACACATAGAGACAAACAACCATTCACTCTCATTCACACCTAGAGACAATTTTGAGTTGCCAGTCAGCCTGCATGTTAGGCTCTGTAGGAAGAAACCAGAGTACACAGAGAAAACACACGCAGCACGGAGAGAACATGCAAACTCCATCCAGAAAGGCCCCCAGACCGGGATTTGAACCGGGGACCTGCTCGCTGAGAGGCAGCAGCTCTACCAGTTGCGCCACCGTGCTGCCCTAAATACAGACGTGAAAAAATATTTATGCTAACCCAAATAGCTAACACAGACAAATAATCACAATGAACAGTTGTTCTCTTTCACAGCATAATAAATGTGTAATTTTATGCAGTAGTTATCAGCCTCTCCTTTTAGTTAATTTGAATTTGTTTTAAGACACAAAATGTCAGATTAATGAAGAACGGCCATTTTACTCAACTGGCTAACATTAGCATTAGCTAAATACCTACAAGAATTGTAAAATTCTTCACATAGACATTTTTAGTCTTTACTACATTTTTACATGAGGTGCTTTACGTTTACAACCTAACAAATCTTTATGGGCATCTAACAGCTGATAATTACTAAATACAAAGCTTCACTCAAACTGCTGTATGCTAATCTAAAAAAGTTAAATCTGGTCCTCTGGACTCAAATCACTCATTAAAATACCTCCCATCACATCCCCATTTGTTACATTTGTGAAAATAATATCGATTATTGTAGCACTATGAGTTGTAATTCTTGTTGGTTTTGATATTAACGGATAAAGATTTAAACTATATCTAAAAAAGTTAAATCTGGTCCTCTGGACATTTAAAAATATAAAATAAAGCAAAAAAAAATAGTAGAAATGTTTCATCTTTCATCCGAGAGACTTCCTCAGTCTGAGGTGCTGTATTCAGCTCAGTCTCTTAAATAGCACCTTCTCAGAGTGGATCAACCAGTTTTGCTGCTGACAACCAAAACCAGCTGATCACATGCTCAAGAAGGACCATCAGCCTAACAATGGCTCATTAGCACACTGATGGCTGTTTACTACTCACAGAGGGCTGAGTGATACTAGCAATCACAGCATTGTAAGAGGGGGACAGTTGAACCTGGAGGCCTCCACCCCTGTTTAATGATGGACGATTTCTTTTCACAAAGATGGCCTCCTTTACTCGTCTCTCAAACCATCATTCCTCTCTATCCAGGATGTGAACATCTTCATCCCTGAAAGAGTGACCGCTGGCCTGGAGATGAGTGTAGACTGCAGAGTCCTGGCCTGATGATGACAAATACTGGTCTGTGTGGGTGGGTTTGCGGTACACCTCAGTTTGCAAATGTCACCCACCCACACAGACCAATATTTGCAGTTTGACTCCCATCACCCTTTGGAGCACAAGTTAGGAGTCATCAGGACTCTGTATCACAGAGCAGACAGCATCCCCACTAGCTCAGGAGCCAGGCAGAAGGAGAAATCCCACACAAGACAGGCTCTAGAGCAATGTGGATATCCTAACTGGGCCTTCCTGAAAGCAGAGAAGAAACCCAAACAGGACTCCAGTCAGCCAACAGGTGAAAAGGAGGAACCCAGACCCAGACCACTGGTCATTCCATATGTTGAGGGAGTATCAGAGAAACTGAGACGTTTATTTTCTAAACATAACGTCCCAGTGGCTTTTAAACCCCAAAATACATTACGGCAAAGACTGGTTCATCCCAAAGATCCAGTCC